AGAGTGGTGGGATGACAGGCGTGCCCTGCCATGCCCGGCGTCCCTCCACTTTTTGCTGTGGCTTCTGCACTGACAAAGGACTCGGCATCCCCGTGGAGAAGGGATCCAAGCCCCTGCGCTTGGGTAGCCATTAAGTCAGGACTCACACAGCGCTGTGCCTTCTTGTAACAAGCACCAGGCATGAAGTACACATGCAATATTTGCATTTTTAAAAATGTATTTGGTTGTCACAGAGTCTCACTATGCAGCTCGGACTCCTAGTGATCCTCCCACCTTCACCTTCCCCAGCGCTGGGATTACAGGTGCGCACCACCACGCCCAGACCCTGGCAGGGTTGGCACACCCTGAGGCGGAGCTGGTGGGCATGTGGTGCCCAGGATTGAACCGCGGTCCGTGCACCTGCATAAGCACTGCTTTAGTCTGCTGAGCCAGCTCACCGGCCCCCTGGACATTATTAGTTGCTAAATTCTGGTGGCTCCTCCTTGTACACCTCTTCGGTCCTTAGGCTTGCGCTGTCCTTCTAATTTCATATCAACTTCATTCCCTACATCGCTGAATCTCCCCTGCCTTGTCACAGCGATGTGGGGAGTTGTTTCTTTTTTTTCTTTTTTCTTTTTCATGTAGTTGGTCCAGGGTCTCACTACACAGTTCAGACCCATATCGACCCTCCCGTCTTAGCCTCCCCAGCACTGGAATTACAGGCTTGCACCACCAGGCCTGGTCATGGTGGCTGGCTGGGCACGCACAGGGTGGGGCTGGTGCAGCCCGTGGTGCCAGGGATCAAACCCTGGTCCTGCACTTGCCCAGCGGATGCTTAGACCACTGAGCTGTCTATCACCCTGATTAAATCATCAAGCAGTCATGTTTACCCCTTCCCTGGAAGGCGCCCCATTCTCCAGTCAGTACGAAACAGGAGGCAATTCTCCCCCCTCGGCGATCCCAGGGCGGTTGTGCTAAGCCAACTCCAGCCCCTGTGGCTTGAATGTCCCTCATGCCTCGGGCTGCTTGTCTAACGAATGTTCAGAGTGACCACAACCGAGGCACACTTGCCAGACTGAGAAGCCTCCACGCCGACTTCACCCTGGATTATTTCTTACAGTCCTGTACATCTTCCCGACAGAACCTCAGCGTCTTTTCTGCTTGTCCACACTGCTTGCGCACTGCTGCGATGCCTGCGGTTGCCCTGGGCCGCGCGGTCCCGTGGTGGCACGTTCTGCCGTACGTCACAGGGCTGCACGTGAGGGTCAGGCGAATCAAGCAGACCCGTCCAGTCGGAGTGTCCTCTGACCGCTTCTTGGTTCTGAACACTGTAATGCACATAACTCAGCGCGTTGTGAACAATGTATTTAATGATGGAGTCTCAGGGATGGAACCCAGTCAATAGATGAGGAATTTTGGGGTTTGGTTTTGTTTTTTGAAACGGGGTCTCACTAAGTTCCTGGACTCCGACTTCCACTACACTCATCGGCCTCAGCCTCCCCGAGGAGCTGCTCCTCCTGCAGCTGCCACCCGGCTGTCAATCTCGGGCGTCATCCGGTGGCCCTGTCCCCGCCACTTTTCCTGGATGGACCCAAAGCTTCCCTTCATCATGTTTCTTCCCCCGCTAGTGAATTCCCAGCAAAGGCAGCAGGAGGTCAGTGCGTTGAGACATCGCACGTGTGCACACATTTTTATTCCACTTTCTCTTTGTGACGGTCAAAGAACAGTGTTGGTGGGCGGGCCAGACAGCTCTGCAGACTGAAGCGCCTGCCTAGGCCTGCAGTGCTGGCCTCGCCCGCCCCGGGGCCCGCTGAGACGCGATTGAGACTGGGCGTGGTGGCGCGTGCCTGTAATCCCAGCGCTTGGGAGGCTGAAAAACAGGAGGGCTCACTACAAATCCAGTCTGTGTAGTGAGACCCTGTGGACCCAGTAATAAATACATTTTAGGAAAAAAAGAAAGCACAGTGTTGCCATCGCAGTGGGTTAGTCTTGACGGTGTTATTCGCTGCACCCCAGGCAGCTCCTTCCCGGCCTTCTCTGGAGGAAACACACAGCGCTGCACGGAGTCCACCTCCTGCCTGTGCATCTCGGGGGTCTCTGGCTGCAGATGGTCAACCTTCAGTTCTCCAGGAGACCCGAGAACAGGCACAAAATAAAGTTTTGTCCTTGCTCCCTGCTTTGATTCGGAAGAGTCTAGAATGGCCTCCTGAACGCCCCCTTACCCGTCTCTTCCATCCTCTTGATCTAACTTTCAAGAGATACGTTCTTTAATTCCCCAAGACACCCCATCTGCTGAAGTTCTAGTTTGGAAGTTCATTTTTTGTTCTGATGACTTTTTCTTGTGCTTACTGGTCAGTTATACTGATATGCGATCCATGTTTTGGACATGCGGCATTTTTGTTCTTCCTAACAGTAAAAATTAGAAGTAGGTGCATTTTTAAAGTTTTCTTTTTTCTTCTTTTTTTGTACTGGGAACCAAACTCAGGACCTTGTGCTTGCCAGGAAGCTGCTGCGCCGCTGAGCTGTGTGCTTGGCTTCTTTTGCTTTCTGTATTATCTCTGTTTCCTCTTGGTGCTGTTCTGTTTGTTTGCATGCTTGCTTGCTCTGTCGCTTGTACTGCACAGTTTTCAGTGTATGGTGAGCTCTGAAACTCTGTCCATTTCCAAGAAGAAAGCAGCCTTAGACGCCTGGAAGCTCACTATGCAGCTGTGTGCGCGTGTGTGTTTTATTCCAAGATGGTTGTGTAATGAGTTTCATTTCATGAAGAATGCTCAATAATATGCATCTGGAGGTCTTTTCTCTAGGACTCTCCAGACTCCCAAGAGAAGAACTCAACAATCCTAGCTGACGCCGTAAGTTTGGGGGTCTGAAAATTGAAATGGGGGGCTCTGGTTTCATAGTCAGGAAAGAATGGGTGTGGTGGTACACACCTGTAATCTCAGCACTCAAGAGGCTGAGACGGGAGGATCGCCCCCAAGTTCAAGGTCAGCTTAGGCTGGCTACACAGTAAGTTCAAGGCCAGCCTAGACATGCAGAGATCCTGTCTCAATTTTAGAAAAAAAAAAAAAAAAAATCAGGAAAAAGTTCAGTTAAAAAGTACTAAAAAATGAGACTCTTTTCAATATAAGTGGTGACTCACAGAATGTATTGGGGTAACAAAAGTAGCCTTAGGATAGCATAAACTTACAAACTACAAAAAATATTTTGGTGCCAAAATTTTGGTAATATGTTATAATACTTTTCAGCCTTTTTTTTTTTTTTTTTTTTTTTTTTTTTTGGCAGAACCGGGGATTGAACTCAGGCCCTTGTGCTTGCCAGGGAAGCACTTATTCCACTGAGCCATCTCCCCAGCCCCTATGTTATAATACTTTAATATATCATTTCTCAGTTGATAAAATTTTTTTGCTTTTTTTTCTACAGGTTCACTTGTTAGGTCATGAAAATTTGTATTCTGAGCACCTTCGCTTTGGATCCATAAAACTGAAAGTGATGTCCCTGGTTGCTGGCAGATGCGAGACAGCAAATCATTTTTATAAAACTTTTAGGAAGAGAAAAACAAGTGGCAAGAATAATGTGAACAAAGGCAGACAGTGGGGAAAGGAAGTAATAACACAGGGGAACAGCAAGTCGGAAAAACTGTATCAAGAAGAGTGTGCCGAGCGAGCCGGGAGATGGCTCAGTAGCATAAGCACCTGCCTGGCAAGTGCAAGGTCCCGAGTTCAATCTCCGGTACAAGAACAAGAAGAAAAGTTTGCTGAGTGCAAAATCACAGGGGACAACAAAAGGCAGGCTGCAGGCATCATACACGGGCAAGAAGAGGAAGCATGGGGAGAGGGGGAAGGACTCTCAGAAGCAGCTGTGGGAGGCATCATGAGGGAGGAGGTCCGAACAGAAGAGAGAGAAGAAGCCGTCGCTGGATTGGAGCTGCACCCTGACTCAGCCTCAGCCACTAAAGCTCTAAAGCAAGGGAGCTGAACTTCACACGGTCCAATGCAGAGGAAGTCCACCCCCAAAAAACATATTCTATAAATAACAAGAGGAAGAGATGGAGAAATGGGAGGAATGCAGCGAACAGAAGGACACCCGGAGCCCACTAGTCGGCCCTTCACACACAGCCAGGGAAGCTGAGGCCCAGAGAGGCGAATCAGTCTCTGTGCTGAGCCTGCTCAGCCAGTGAGCCCAGGCAGGAAAGCAGCAGAGGTAAATGGGAACTCGGGGGTCACAGGCGAGGCAAGACTGTTCCCAGGACAAGCCCGTTTCATTCTGTGTATTTCTTTGAGAATTATCCTGAGCCCACAGTCCTAAAATTTTCCTGTTTAAAAAAAAAAAATGTATTTAGTACAGGGTTTCAGGGTCTCACTACACAGATCAGACTCCTAGTGGTCCTCCTATTTTCAGCCTCCCAAGTGCTGGGCTTACAGGTTCGTGCCACCACGCCCAGTCTCAGTCGCCATCTCGGCGTACCGCAGGGAGGGGGGCAGCACGGCAGACCAGGGATCGAATCCCAGTCCCTGCTTCTGCCTAAGCAAGTACTTTAATCCATTGAGCTATCTGGCTGGCCCCTTAAAATTATTTTCAACATGCCTGATTGAAAACTATGATTACAGTGCTCGGCTTTCTGGAGAAAACCTAATGTTCCTGGTTTGGGAGAGAGAGACGCGTCTATCCCACTTTTTCAGTCTCAGATGAATTCTACATCCCTGAAGCCTGGAAGGCAGGAAAGGCTGTTCACACTCAACTGGAAAGGCATCCTGTAATGGCCCTGATGACACTCCACCCTGCCTGCTGCAGAGATAACAGCCCCGCGGTAACTCTCCACCCACGGAAATGGAAACAGTAGGGGGGCCAAGACATTCATTAAGAAAAAAATCACCCAATTATGGATAATTTGCAATGAGCTGGCAGATGCCATTCTGCTACGAGTGGCAGAGTTTATGTGGAAACACCCTAACACTGTGTATATAAAGCGAACAGACCTGAGCCCAACACTGACGGCCGGACCTCGCCCCAGTGTGGACACCATGTCTATGCGCTTCTCCTCAGTGTCCAAGCGGCTGGACTCCCCCGGGCGGCTCTCGGGCGGGGCCGCAGGCTTCACAGCTGGGAACGCCTGTGGAGTCCCAGGCATTGGAAGCGGCATCTCTTGTGCATTCGGGGGCAGCCCGTCAGCAGGAGGCTATACGCTGGGCGCAGGAAGTGACCCTTGCGCTGCCTTCGCTGGGACTGAGCATGGCCTCCTGTCTGGCAATGAGAAGGTGACCATGCAGAACCTCAACGACCGCCTGGCCTCCTACCTGGACAACGTGCGCGCCCTGGAGGAGGCCAACGCCGACCTGGAGCAGAAGATCAAGGGCTGGTACGAGAAATTTGGGCCTGGCTCTTGCCGGGGCCTGGACCACGACTACAGCAGATACTTTCCCATCATTGATGACCTCAGAAACCAGGTAAGGGACACAACATCAAGGGTTGTAACACTTGACACAATATTCACACACACACACACACACAGAGGCAGACACAAACGTATACACCATCAGACAGGGCTTTGGGCTCAGCGTCTAAATTTTAACAGCTCATTATCAACATCAATCATTTCTGGGCTGGCAAGATAGCTTAGCAGACAAAAGCGCCTGCTTTAGCAAGCGCAGGAACCAGGGTTAGATCCCTAGCCCCATCCCCAGGACGTACTGATCCAGTGACCAAGTCCAGGTGTGGTGGCACGCACCTGTAATCCCAGTGCTGGGGAGGCTGAAAACAGGAGGCTCACAACAAGTCCAAGCTGTGCAGTGAGACCCTGTACCAAATACACAAGTGAAAACAAAAACTTTCTGTTAAAATTCTGCTCTTTGAACATGACCCTCCCACTACCTGGCATTAGGTATACATGTGTGGTTTTAACACTATGAAAGGCCACAATCTGTCCAATGTCTTCAACTATATACTCAAACTTTCCAACAGAAAGAGGCTTTTGGGTGGAGATAGCAGGGAGCATAACCAGAGCCATTGTCGAAGTTCCCATTGGCAAAACAATCCTGCCCTTAGGAGATACAGATGCTAAAAATCACTAGAACTTCACAGGTAACTTTATTTTGAAGAAATTCAAATTTCTAAAGCTATTTCCTCACTCTCAACGAACTCCCCACTCATCAGATAATCTCCGCCACCGTGAGTAACGCCAATGTGGTGCTGCAAAATGACAACGCGAGGCTGACCGCTGACGACTTCAGGCTGAAGTAAGTAGCCCCAAAGGCGAGGTGACAGGTCACCTCAGAGGACTCTCGTGTCTGCAGGAGGTAGCACTGCTCTCTAGGCTTATCCGCTTACTCGCTCTAAGCCAATGCGTGCTAGCCAACCTGCAGCTCAGGAGCCTCGTTACCGGCCAAGCCTGGGGGGGACCCAAAGCAATGTCACGGTCCCAGGAGGAAGTTCTGAGTAATTCCATCCTCTCGCATCGAGGGAGTGTATGTGTTTCGATTACGTGGTGGGAAATCTAATGGGAAGCATTCTGGACAACAGCGATAGCTTCATGCTTGAAGCTTGAGTTTTGTGATGGACTAAAAGGAACGGGATGAACGTCGCCCCATAAACGTGTTCCAGGTATGAGAACGAGCTGGCCCTCCACCAGAGCGTGGACGCCGACATCAACGGGCTGCGGCGAGTCCTGGACGAGCTGACCCTGTGCAGAGCCGACCTGGAGATCCAGCTGGAGGCCCTCACTGAGGAGCTGGCCCACCTCAAGAAGAACCACGAGGGGGTGGGTGCCTGGTTTCCCTCCCCAAGTGAAAACTTCATTTCAGATGATGAAAACCTCGTCTTAAACTAATGCCGAGAGGAGGTTATCAATTTCTCCTGATAACTTAGATTATTTTAAATGTTTCTATTCATCCCTCCCCAGAGAAACAAACACAACAAAAAAGCTATGGACCCTGGCCTCCTGACTCCTTTAAAAAATAGATGCTAAAGCCAGGAGTCATAGCACATTTCTATAATCCCAGCACCTGGAAGGCTGTGCAGGAGGATTACAAATCAGTTAGTGGTCAGCCTGAGCCACGAGTGAGCTCAGGACTGACCTGGGCTACACAGTGACACCCTGTTTAAAATAAAAAGAATCTTAAGGTGGTTAAACAAAACCCTTTCAGGAAATGAAGGCTCTGCAGTGCGCGGCGGGGGGCAACGTGAACGTGGAGATGAACGCGGCCCCCGGTGTGGACCTCACAGTGCTGTTGAACAACATGCGGACCGAGTACGAGGCGCTGGCGGAGCAGAACCGCAGGGACGCCGAGGCCTGGTTCAATGAGAAGGTAAAGCCGTGGGGGGTGGGGCAGGGCGTGCTCACCTGCCAGGTGCTGCCCAGGTGTGCCCAGGTGTGCCCAGGTGCAGAGGCAGTGCCCATGCCTGACTTGGCCTACGCCTTGCAGAGTGCCTCACTGCAGCAGCAGATTTCTGAAGACACCGGAGCCACCACCTCAGCCAAGAACGAACTCACGGAGAAGAAGCGTGTGGCGCTAGCCCTGGAGATCGAGCTGCAGTCTAACGTGGCCTTGGTAAGCGTGAAGTTAGAAGCAGATTTGCTGGAGAAAGCAAGACGAGATCAATGAACGAATATTACAGATTCTAGATCGTAGCCAGGAGCGGCAGCACTGACGTAAGAATTGGCATTGTGCATATACTTTTTATTGCCTAAAAACTATGCCGAGGTACTAAGAACCGTGAAGCAATAGGAATTAGCCAGCACAGTTATGCTAACGTACTTCAGGAAGAAAATAGGGTTTTCGTGCTCCCTTTTCTCTCCCAAGTAAAACTATCCAAAACCTCTGTCCACGGCCAGCAAACATACGCGTGTACCTTTCCGGTTCCTTCAGCACTCCTTTCGGCTGCCTCACCGAGAGCACTAAGGTCCTTCTCAGGTGGCAAAAACAAGAAGCAAATAGAGGTGTGAGGGCTGGATCTGGAGCTGACCGCGTGTCGCGGCGGCAGCCACCGTCTTCCTCAAGGGCTGGCGCGGCAGCTTCACCCACGTTAGCCCACAGTGAGCCCGAGGCCTGAAAAGGCAGGCCTGTAACTCACGTCATTATTTCCAAAAGAAGCGTCTAAGAATCAAGGAAATCAAGTGCTCCCCAAAGCCCCGTGGTTAGATGCGAAGGAGCCAGGATATTTCTCCAAATCTTCTAACTCCCGCCATGGCTAGTAAACCTCTAGAGTCTGTCCATGAACAATGCTATGAAGGTACATAAATAAGCGTTTAGGTTAAAATGTTTGGCAGAGGGAAGGGGACGATGCCCTCCTCTTCAAGCCATGTGAAGTCTAGCAGGTCTTTCCTCTGTGGACTCACATAAACCCATTCGGATTCCCAAGCCAATGAATTGGACTATTTAAGTTTAAAGGACATCAAAAAGTCTACTTATCCAAAGTTGATGTGACCGAGAGCTACAACTCTCCTGAGCCAAGAATGTCAGATGATTAGAAAGAAGGTAGCGAGGGGTAAAGGGACTTATTTCTGGGGCAAATGGCAAAAGGTACCCCAGCACCCCCATGCACACCCTATACCTTCTTCCTACGATGACTTGCATGCTGTGAGAGGAGCTCTTTCCAGTGCCTCGCAAAGCACCTGGCTGCCTCAGGCCCAGAGCAGCGACGTGTTCTACTGCGCCCTGTCTTCCCACCCCACAGAAACACTCCCTGGAGTGCTCGCTGAGCGAGACCGAGGGCAACTACTGCTCGCAGCTGGCCCAGCTCCAGGCGCAGGTCGGGGCCCTGGAGGAGCAGCTGCACCAGGTGCGGACGGAGACCGAAGGCCAGAAGCTGGAGTACGGGCAGCTGCTGGACCTCAAGGTGCACCTGGAGAAGGAGATCGAGACCTACTGCCGCCTCATCGACGGAGACGACGGGTGAGTGCTGCTTCCCCACACAGCTGAAGATTCCTGCAGCAAGGCCCTATAGAAACAAGTGCAACATGCCTGTGACACACTGCTGGGCAGCTAGAGCGGCTCCACTTCTTCAGCAAAGCTCCCAGTGAAATAGTTAATCAAAATCTATTTTTTACAGATCTTGTTTCAGATCAAAGGGCCAGGGAGGACCAGGATATCAGATAAGAGGTGAGCCCAAGCCGGTGAGAGCGTTCCGTTATTTTTTTTCTCATGTACGTTTCAAAGGATGAGTGATCTTCCGCTTATGAGTTTCCAGTTCTAACCATTCACATGCACCCTTCCTTTCAGATGCGCCGAAACCCATCATTGTTAAAACAGTTGTGGAAGAAACAGATTGTCGCAGCCAAGTTTTCCCATCCAGAATTCAGACCATCGAAGAGAAACCCAGCAAAATCAACAAGAATGAACAGAGGGTATCCCCACCAAGAAAGGACAGCTCCCTAAATTAAGCCACCAGATGTAGCCAGCTTCCTACTTGAGAGCCTCTTATTTTTCTCCTTTTCTTCAAGTGAACTGTGACAAGCTCTTTGTAGAATAGTGACTTTTCTTTCGCTTTCTCTATGGTGATGTTTCAATAAACAATCTCCCTGTTGCAAGTTATCCTGCCCGACTCCGATCCCTCTTTGCACCTTAAACATATCCTCCCATGGGGCTGGCTTGCCCTTCCACTGCCTCTGTGTAACTTAGTGGTCTTCAAAGTTAGGAATGAGTTTAACATGTACACTAGGTGGAGTCAGCCTCCCTCTTCTGTTCAAATGTCTTCCTCCCACCCTCCAATACTTATCGGGCACAGAATAAGCACCAGACGATGAGAACAGAACAGTGACCAAACTCAACTCCTACCCAGGCCTGGGGATGCGTGCCTGGAATCCCAGCACCCTGGGAAACTGAGGCAGGAGGATCACAGATCTGAGCCCACTCCACCCAGTGACTGACAGCTTCGTGACTTAGTGAGACACTGTCTCAAAAATAAATAAAAATTAAAAAGTTCCCCGAGTTCAGCACGCTTATGGAATAAATTTTAAAAATTTAAAACATCCTACCCGTGAAGGCAATGCTACCAAGGGTAAGCTTTTCGGAAGGCATAAGGGGAAAGAAAGATGTGGATAAGTGGTAAAATAGGGAATTCCAGAGGACATTGAAGTTGTCACCTCAGTCACCCCGCTGTGAGGGTGGCACTCACTGGTCCTCTGGTCAGCTTGCCCCATATAAGACCGCAGAGTAATGCGTCCCTGAGGTCAAATACACTTCAAGTGAAATACTTAGTGCTCAACATCAAGGAATCTATTTCTCTAACCAGCAGCTCAAGACTTCCTCATGATAGGAGGAGGTGTAGAGCCTGCTGTTCTGAGAAAGAAAGAACACGTCTCCTAAAACACAGGCTGTCTCTGCTGAGGGCGCAGCCTGTGTCCTCTGGAACAGTACCTACAGGGAGCTCTGCAGAACCAGTGCGAGTCAGCTGAAAGCCAGTTTCCCACTGTCTTGCTCCCACCGTTCCCTACGAGCGTGGAAACACCTGGGTGGACCTAAAGCAAATACCCTCCTCGCTCAAGTTTCTCACCCACTGGCCCTCGCCGAATACTCTGTGTCAAAATCAGGAGAGAACGCCCACGCTTGTGGTTCTATAGTCGGAAGTACTTGGCTTATGGCCTGCGTGGAGGAATTTCCTTCCCAAACTAAACACACCCTTTACCTATGATCCAGGAGTTGCCAGGCTCACTCTTCTATCCAAAGGCGTAGAAAATGGGTGTTCGCACAAAATCCCCCACACACAGATGTTGATGATAACTTTATTTGTTAGCTGCCAAAATCTGGAAGCAACCCATGATGTCCCCCAGTAGGTGAGCAGATACAGAAACTGAGGCAGACCCAGCAGTGGAGGGTCCTCGGATACTCACGTGTGCTGTCAAGCCAGGAAGACACAAAGAGGGAGCTTGGAGGTGCAGCACTAAGTGGAAGAACATAATCTGGAAAGACTGTGCGCTGATTGGTCCAATGATATGGCATGCAGGAGAAAGCAGGGTTGAGGAGACACAGGATCCTGTTGACTGGGGGAGGGGCTGTAGAGAGACAGAGAAGAAGACATTGAGGCCAACGACAACACTCCCTGCTACCATGGGAGGAGACACAGGTGGTTATATATTGTCCAGGCCCATAGGATGTACAACACCAAGAGTCAGAACTCAACTATGAGCTTTGGATAAATGGTTTGTCCATCAAGGTAGGCTCGTCCATTGGAATGAATATGAACAGCTCAGGGACTACTGCTGAGAAGAGAAAGCAGCATCTGATCGTGAGAGTGGGACCACCTCACAAGGAGCTCCATCCTGAAAGGAGGAGGCATCAACATGACCTAAAGGCGGAACTCCACGCGAGGCCTTTACGTCCCCAGCCCATGCAAGTCACGTCACAATCTAATACCTGGTAGATTCTCGAGAAGACATAAATGAATGCTGCTAGATACGGGTTCTTACTACGAACAAAATAACCACTGTCGGGGAACAAATACGTAGACAGAAGTGGCCAGGGCCTCTGTGATGAAGTCTATCTTCTCCTTCGAGAAAGGACTAAGCCTGGTTCAGCAAATCCGAGAGCCTCACTCTGTGAGTAAACGGGGAGGACCTTCCAAATGGGCTTGACACCGACATTCCTGGCCACTGTGACGGCCAAGTGGCCTGTGATCTACGCCGGCACCTTCGCACCAGGGCCAACCCGTTCCCAGAGTGGCGCTAATAATATATGCTTAACATATTTCACAAAACATCCTAAGTTAATAAGTGTTTACAAGCCATCTAGAGATCGATAGATTACATTAATCATACTCTGCAGTCACGTAACACTTCTTATCTAAGAAACTCAAGCTGTGGAAACTGCGACCCGGACCGCGTCCTGTGTTTCCCTTACTTAATTCATGGGAAACAAAGGCAAAAGCTTAAAGTGTGATCAGGCTGCAACAAAATCAGCAGCGAGTCTCTGAACATAAGCTGTCTTGCTTCCTCTGTTCTGAACGTGAGCCGACGAGAAGCTGAACTAATATATTCTTTTCAAGTATTTGTGGTATTTTTAATATTTTAATGCTACTTATAAATATATGGATTTTTAAAAAATTGATACATTCCACTCCTGAGAAGCTGCAAATCCTTCCACGACGATACCATTGGGTCCCCTTCAAAGCATCCAATCTCACAACACCTGATCTCCTTCCAAAAAAAAGAAAAATTACTATTTTAAAACTAAACCTAAAATCAGTTCAGGGGTCAATTTGTAGCACTGCAAGTGATGGAGGCCTGGCCCCGTCTGCCATGGCCACTTTATTATAATGACATAAATAATTGACACATACAAGATGTCTGTGGCCCTCAGACGGCCTTAGGGTCATTCATTATTGTCTCTGGTGAGCTCTCATTTGAGCCTGCCCTGTGCTGTTATTTACGTTCGCCCAGGAGGGAAACAAAGTACAGGGCTGGCTGGGCTCCCCAGGGCATCAGGACAAGACGGCACAGAGCCTGCTGCCTACGACAGCTGTCCTCTAGGCAGAGCCCAGGTGACGGGCTCAGCACCCGTCTCCTTTGGACACCTCATCCCGGGGACCAACAGAGCGCACACCTCCCAAGAGCTCACCTTAAGTGCACACGTTTGAACTGAAGCACAGGAAACTTTTTTTTTTCTACCTGGGATCGAACTCAGGACTTTGAGCTTGCTGGTCTGACACCTATGCCACTAAGCTGTCTCCCTGGCCCCCCGGAAACTATTTTTAATGTTGAGAATGAAGCAGTTTAGAGACTCAAAAGCTGTTTGGATTGATTATTCTACTCCTGGGCCAAATCAAGAAAGGGCAATAAAAAAAATTCCCCATCAATACCATAGACTCCTGAGGTTTAGTGAGACTTGGGCAAGACTTCTATTATTTTTTCTTTTTCTTTTTCTTTTTTTTTTTTTTGAAAACCAATTAAAATTTCGCATCAAAGCCCACTAGGTATCCAGGGTCTCTGGTTTCAATATCAAGAAGACAAAACACAGTGGGCGTAGTGGAGACAGAGTAAAACCTTTGATGACAAGGAACCTGTTCTGTGTCGTTCCCTGCAAGGGGCAAACGTTTCTAGTCAATTTCAATTTGATAAACAAGCAATGTCTTGCAGTACGAGTTGTAGGTGATGCTGGAGGTCACAAGATCACAGCTGTGCCAATGGTTCTTCTCTCTCTCTCTCTCCCTCTCTCTCTCTGTCTCTCCGTCACTGTCTTTTTCTCTGTCTCTTCCTATCTCTCTTCCTGTTTCTGTCTCTATTCTGTCTCTCTCCCTTCCTGTCTCTCTCTCCATTTCTGTCTCTGTCTGTCTCTCTTTCTCGATCTCTCTCCCTCTCTTCCTGTCTCTCTTACTGTCTCTCCCTGTCTCTGTCTCCCTCTCTCCCTCCGTCTCTCTCCCTGTCTCTTGTCTGTCTCTCCATCTCTCTTCCTGTCTCTGTCTCTATCTCTGTCTCTCTCTCCCTGTCTCTGTCTCTGTCTCTTTCTCTCTCTGTCTCTCTTGCTGTCTCTCTCCCTGTCTCTGTCTCCCTCTCTCCCTCCGTCTCTCTCCCTGTCTCTTGTCTGTCTCTCCATCTCTCTTCCTGTCTCTGTCTCTGTCTATCTCTGTCTCTCTCTCCCCGTCTCTGTCTGTCTCTTTCTCTCTCTGTCTCTCTTGCTGTCTCTCTTCCTGTCTCTCTCTGTCTCTGTCTCTGTCTTTCTCCCTCTCGCCTCGTCTTTCTCTCTCCCTTGCCCTCCCTTCCTCCCTCTCCACCCCTCATCTCTCCAGGATTGTTGGTAATTGCCTCTCAACAGCAAGAGGTCCTGGAGGAGATCTCAACTGCAGAGGAGGAGAAAAAGGCAGAGGAAGCCTCAGTTCAAGTGAGATGAGGAGATGTACAGAGTGTCAGAAACAGTGCGAAATCAGGTAGAAGAGCGGCACCCGGGTGAGGCTGCAGCCGCGCAAGCGATGGGTCTGCCTAAAAGTAACGCAACATCACGCTTCCCCAGGATCCTCAAAAGGAGGCAAAGCGAAAGTCACTGACCAGGTTCCTTGTTTTGGGTTGGTTTTTTTTTTTTTTAATTCATTTATTTATTTATTTACTACAGGGTCTCACTATGCAACTCGGACTCACAGTGATCCTGTCTCAGCCTCCCCATCGCTGGGATTGCAGGCATGCGTGCACCACCATGCCCGGACTCAGCGGCCAGCACAGCATGCAGTACTGGGGATCGAACCCAGGTCCTCGCGCTTGCCAGGCAGGTGCTTAGGCCGCCGAGCTGTCTCCCGGGCCAAGGTTCCACCGAGCCAGTGGGGAGCAGCAGTTCCATTAAGGGCAGCGGAGGTCTCCTCACGACGACCCTCCTCCCTCCTGTGTCCCTCGCAGCAGCCATGAAGGCTTTCAAAGGTAAGAAGAATTTGCTTCTATATATTTTGTGTTTTCTTTATAATTTTGTATCATATCACAGTATGGTAATCATTTTATGTGAATATTCTTGAGTTGTGGGGTGAGTCCTCTGAATTTCCGTGATTTCTTAGAGGGAAACTTGCTCTGCTGCACAAGTGTTGGTATTACAAGCTTGGTTCTGGGCTGAACTGCGCCCACAAACTAAGGTCTTACTGAATTCCACGTGCATCTGTGGGGCAAGAGCAGTAAACATTTCTTGTCTGAATTATTTGTCCTGTGGGAGGGAGGACTAGAAGCCATTCCAGAGTCCAGAGATGAAGAGGACATACGCTGACATCTTTTAGTTTAAAAAAAAAAAAAATCTGATTTCTTTTCTATCGTCTGTGAAGCTATGATTTGGAAGCACTAACTCTTGGAGCCTATGATTTAGAATTACTCGCCTGGCACCTTTTTCATGTATAAAAGCGCCCCTGGGGCACCATTGCCACCTACTGGAAACTATTAAAAACCTGCCAATTGTAGAAAACAACAATTAGGATGCGAGGGGCGTTTTATTACAGATCGGTATAGGAGAGCCTGAAAGGCCAACCGCGTCCTATAAAAGCCCGCGGCCTGGCCCTGCGAAGGCGCCCGCCCTGCTGCTCTCGGAAGGCGCCGGCTCCGCTCGGCCATGTCGTTCCGGCTCTCCGGCGGCTCCAGGCGCATCTGCGCCCAGGCTGGGTCTGCCCGGCTGCCCAGGGCGGGCTCCGGCTTCGGGGCTGGGAGCACCTGCGCGGCCCCGGGAGCGGCGGAGAGCAGCTTCGCGTGCACGCTGGCGGGTATTTCTGCAGCAGGAAGCGCCTGCCAAGGTGGTGGGGGGTCTGGCGGCAGCAGCTGCGGTGGTTTCCTTGGAAACGAGCAGGGTCTCCCGTCCGGCAACGAGAAGGTGACCATGCAGAACCTCAACGACCGCCTGGCCTCCTACCTGGCCCACGTGCGCGCCCTGGAGGAGGCCAACGCCGAGCTGGAGCGCAAGATCGCGGGCTGGTACGACAGGTGCGGGCCGGAGCGCTTCCCGGGACTCGGGCACGACTACAGCAGATACTTCGCAGCCATTGAGGATCTGAAAACACAGGTAGGCAACACAGGCCTGCGTCCTTTAGCCACCAGCAGGCGCCACGCAGGGCAGAGAAAACGTAAGTGGACGCTCCGAACGGACGGGTTTAGAATGGGTTCGCTCTACAGTCCGGGAGCTAAGTAAGAGCCGCGGCCCGCAACACAGATTTCTAAAATTAAATAAGGAAGGAGAAATGGTTTCGAAATTCATGTAATCGCATTGTTTTTCTATTTAATTCACACCCCTTTTGATCAAGAAAAACCGGAACATCTACGTGGTTCTTAAAGCGCTGGACACTTATTATCTGAAGAAAAATCAGATTAGTGCGTACATGAATGATGTTGGTGGGGCTGAAGTGAAGAAGATGCAGAGCCTCACTGGCCCCAGCAGCGTCCTCGGGCTGACCTTGATCGCCCTGCACCTTCTCCCCTATGCAGATTATCTCTGTGACCGCCTCTAACGCCAGCATTGTTCTCCAAAGCGACAACGCCAGGCTGACTGCTGATGACTTCAAGCTGAAGTAGGTGCAGATAATTAATTCCATTAGGATTAAAAAAAAAAAAAAAACCACTACATTGGACTGAAGAATGTGGCTTTTGTGTTTTTTCTCAGCCCCACTTTTGCCTTTAAGACCAAAACATTCCAAGGAAACCCTACTAGATGAATAAAGAAATCAAATTTAACGTGCCCTCCTAAAGAGCAACCATGATTTTTTTTTTTTTTTTTTTTTTCCGGAACCGGGGATTGAACTCAGGCCCTTGCGCTTGCCAGGGAAGAGCTTATTCCACTGAGCCATCTCCCTACAACCATGATTTTTTAAGACCAGTAATATTCTGTTGAACTGCTGAGCTCAACAGAGGGAAAATTTGCTCTCACCCAAATGATCCTTGCGAATCAATAAGTATCGAAAACTATGTCAAGAGTTCGTCGAGGCAAGCCTCAAATGCCTCGCACGGCCTCTGGCTCCGGGTCTCAGGCGCCCTGCCGACCTTTCAGGTACGAAAACGAGCTGGGTCTGCACCAGATCATGGAGGCGGACACCAGCAACCTTCGGGGAGTGCTGGAGGAGCTGACGCGCTGCGCCGCGGACCTGGAGATACAGCGTGAGAACCTCGCCGAGGAGCTGAGCTGCCTGCGGAAGAACCACGAGGAGGTACGCGAGCCCCCGCTCGGGCCCCACTCCGACCGGCCGGGGCCCTCCCTAGAGCACTAATCCTGGCCCTCATCCCAGGAAACCAGAGCCCTGCAGGGCGCATCGGGGGGCAACGTGAACGTGGAGATGAACGCCGCCCCGGGCGTCGACCTCGCCGTGCTGCTGAACAACATGCGCGCGGAGTACGAGGACCTGGCCGAGCAGAACCGCAGGGACGCCGAGGCCTGCTTTCACGAGAAGGTAGACCCCGGGCCAGCTGCGCCAGGCCGCTGGGTGGCCGCGCTGGCCCCTGACCTTGGGCGATTCCATTCCAGAGTGCTTCTCTGCAGCAACAGATTTCGGACGACGCAGGTGCAGCCATGGCAGCCCGGAGCCAGCTGACGGAACAGAAGCGCAGCCTGCAGACCCTGGAAATAGAGCTCCAGTCCCTGCTGGCTATGGTACGCGGGGACTGCCGGCGTGTGTGCGCAGGTGCGAGCGCACCCGCCCGCGCTCAGTGCTCTAGCGCAGTACTTGGGGCTCGATGCCTAACGCTGGAAGGAACTTAATTGAGCTCTCAGCTTTGGAGGCCGAAAGTGCACGCAGCCTGGCACCACCTCCGCCTGTGGTCCCCCGTAAAATGTCCCTGCACCTCTAAACGTCACCACACCTGCTTGCAACACATGGACCCGTGGGAGAGGCGCTCAACCAAACGGGAAACATGGTGGTGTGTGTTTAACCACACATGAACATGTATAATAGGAGTGGCTCTATACTAGTAGGTACAGAATAAATGCCAAAAATATACAGTGTACTCAACGTTAATGGTTCCAGCCCTAAGCAGTACTTCTAATGCATCCATCCCAAAATCTGAAGTTATTTTTTTAATGGAAAGACGTGTGTGTGGGGGGGGGGTGCTTCCGAGGAACTGGATATTGAACCCAGGGCCTTTCATATGCTAAACAAGTGCTCTGCACTTGGCTATACCCACAACCCTTTTTAAAAAAATTACCTATTGAGTCAGGGTCTTACTAAGTTGCCCAAGCTGGCCTTGAACATGTGAGTCTCCTGCTTCGGCCTCCCAAATATCTGGGCTTAGGGCTGTGTGCCTCCACACTCAGCTAAGAGGGAACTGATTTTTTAAATCTTGCCAGGTTTGATTTCCAGTTGAAAGTACGTAAACTGTATTCTCCACCTCGGGACTACCTACAATACGAACCCACCATTCTCTATTACACATTGAGGGCTCCCGGGGTGCTTCTTTCAGAAACAGTCCTATGAACACACGCTGGCTGAGACGGAAGGAAATTACTGCGTTCAACTCCAGCAAATCCAGGACCAGATCGCAACGAGAGAGGAGCAGCTGCAGCAGATTCGAACAGAAATGGAAGCCCAGAAGCTGGAGTATGAACAGCTCCTTGATATCAAAATGATTTTGGAAAAGGAAATTGAAACATACTGCAGCTTACTAGATGGAGAAGAAGGGTAAGTGTCAGCTTGGGGGAAAGCGATACCTACACCCGAGTTGTGTCACAGAGCCTCCTGCTGTAGGGATCACGCCTGGCCCCATTCCAGTGAAAAGAAATGTGACCGGAAGCAGCCAGAAATTTGAAAATCAAACTATATGAAGTATTTTATGTGCAATAATAAAAGGACAATTAAATATAGGATGTTTACCATTTTTAGTACTCCGATCCAAGGGTAATTGCTCTCTGTGACCTATGGTTAAGCACATTTATTATAATAAGCCATATTTTTTTTGCACTGCTGGAGACTGCACCCAGGGCTCCCCCACCCTAGACAAGGGCTCTGCCTCCAAGCTCCAGCCCCGCCCAGCACCCTCTAATTGCGCGTCACCTCACCAGTTAGTTACCCTACATAGGTATGGCAGTTCTATTAAAGAAGCAGTGATGACTAGGAAGATTTAATTGGAGAAGCAACATAATTAGTTAACCAAGAGCCAAAAGAAGTCAAGAATTGCAGTGTGAATTCCATACTGGGCAAACTGGAGCTTAGGCTTTCACCTCTTTTTTGGACCCTAATTTCTTCATTGATGAAATTGTGATGAAACTCAAATGACACTCATAGCCAGTCCTGGCCGTAGCCCCCACGCGTGGAAGGTAAGTGTGTGTGACCGAGTCTTACAAGGTGGACTCTGTGATCAGTACCTGTGACTGAGGACCTACCCGTAGCCACCCCACGCTCTGCGCCTCTGAGCCCAGGGTCCCAGGGTCGGCTCTCCACAGTCAGCTCTTCTAGGAGGCTACAGCTTCCTGCAGTTTATACTATGCAGCCCTCTCTACACCTAATGGACAGCGCTTCTCACCCCATGCTGGGGTAATTGTTGGTGCAGAGATACTGTGTTTCCGAACATTTCCTAAAGCGACCAGCCCAGCCTAGCCCGGTCCAGCCCTCCACAAGTGTTCACTGGCCTCTTGAATAAAAAGCCACCCTAAGAGAAAACTCAGAGTCCCCACATTGTTAGGCAAAAGAGAATTGGTCCTACAGACATTTCTGAGCATAAACATCCACATAATCTCATTAGTCACTCTGTTGAAGTCACAGAGAGCCTCCTAATATCCCTTAGACACAAGAGCAACTTAAATCTTACTGAAATTAGAACTCCAAAACTTTTGTTCCCAATTCTTTGTTATGAGCTCTTTGCTAAAAGAAAGACTGCAGTTCTGTACGCTCTCCTTCACAGCAGGAGCAACTCCACATGTTGCAAATCAAAAGGACCCAAGCCGGCCAACTCTGGAAATCAAGTCAAAGGTACAGAAAGAGTGTCTGTTTGCTAATCCCTAATTTATTAACTAAATAAGATTGGCTGCAGAGTTTACCTCTAGAGAACAGAGAGGAGCAGTCATGACAGTGGTTCTTAATATTTGTATTTGAAATCCCTAGAGAACAGAGATGATCGGATTATGGGATTACTGAAATGAGGACTCAATCCCCCCCATGTTTTTCTTACCCAGAACATACATACTCTTTTTTAGTTTCCATGCTTGATACATATTTTATTTTAAAGCACAAAAAAAGGACAAGTTGGTGTTTTTGAAAAGGCACTGCCTGGAGCCTGGGAGATAGCTCAGCAGCATAAGTGCCTGCCTAGCAAGCACAAGGTCCTGAGTTTGAGCCCTGGTACCAAAAAATAAAATAAAATAAATAAATAAATAAATAAGGCACTGCTTACTCCAAGCACATCCTTGCCTGACTTTTAGTTTATTTTAACCCATTTTTCATGTATGCCTTTACACATCTATTTGTCTAAAAAAAAAAAAAGCAACAAATCTAAGAAGACACACCAGGACTTGGCATGCATTGCCTTCAAACACTGTGTTATACATTGATCATTTCCAAGCTTGCAAACAAGAAATTTGTGAGCATACCTGTCACGTCTACACCTTTCTGCTTGTTGAGAATGTCACTGAGCTTTCCTCTACTTTTTGCTTTTAGACTTAACGGAAGAAACATTTGTCAAAGCGATGGTGGACGAGCTGGACCAGCTGGGCAGTGTCCTCTCCCTCAGGGTCCACTCCGTGGAAGAAAGATCCTCTAAAATAAGCAACATCACCATGGAGCAGCGGGTACCTCCTAAAGCCCCCTAGTGTTACAAACAAACCCTGCCTTTGCAAAATGCCCCTACCAGTCACCAGAGTTACCCCTTAGATTTCTCTGAAAATTTGGTTCTTCTTCCTTTCTCGTGTTTTGCTTTTTGTTGTTGTTTTGTTTTGTTCTGTTTCCCAAGTAATTCTTTTCAAAAGAAGGCCAATTCCTGCTCTCTCCCTAGTTTTCTTATTCTCCAGGGTCTTTTGTCAGCTCGTAACAAATTCTCCTGTTGCAAGGGGTTTTATCTACAAATTTGTGTCTTTTTAATCTCTATGGTTGAGCTTAATGCAGGCAATACTAAAGGCTTGATAATAAAATAATATGTTTCACCTCCTGGTCACATGTACCTCCATTAATAACAGGATAAATCGGAAAGGTCACTAGTCCTCAGCTCTGGTCTCAGATCTGTCCCTGATTAGCTATGCAAATGATCAGATCTCTTTAGGGGAGGGGAGCTGGTGAGATAGCTCAGCTGACTAAGCACCTGCTTTGGCAAGCACAGGGAGACCAGGGTTTGATCCCCAGTCTCACCCTCAAGCACTCTGAGTCAGAGACCCAGTCTGGGTATGGTGGCGCATGCCTGTAATCCCGGCACCGGGGAGGCTGAAAACAGGAGGTTCACCATGAGTCCCAGCTGTGTAGTGAGACCCTGTACCAAATACAAACATGGGGGGGGGGAAAGACTCTTTAGGTGAGGGCGTCTAACTATGCAGGCAGATTAGACTGTCATTAGGCTGTGTTCGCCCTTGCAGTGTCTAGTGAGGGGCTAACAGCAGCTGTGAATTCACTGATTGACCCTGGACAGCTACTTTTCCACTTGGGTAACACACACACCTCCCTGCTTTCACCATGGTGGTTGAATGGGGCAAACCCGAGGGAAGCTGCCAGTCTTGTTCCTGTCCGCTAGCACACAAGATTAGGTCTGACATCCTTACCGATGGTTCTGGGGAGTGCAGCGGGGGCTGGGCAGCTGCAAAGTGCTGAGCTGAAGGGGGTTGGGCACATGGGTGGCATAAAGCAGGAGTTCTGCTATCACCTGGATTGCACAGTGGCCCAACAGAGTACCACTAAGGGGTCCTAACAAACTGATAGATAGACACCGTGGGGATCAAAACAGCCATTCCCGCTGACATGCATCTGGTTAAGGTAAACGTGGACGATGCAGCCCCAGCCTTGATTGGCGCTATTCCAAGCCCCCATAGAAGGTAGCTGCTGTCACCCAAAGGCAATTTCTAAGGTGGAGCTACAGCTGCAAGTCACCTTTAGGGAGCCTTCTAGTGACCAAAGGCCCCAATCGTGATGACCCGGGCTATGATCTCAGTTGTGTGCAGCTGGAGTGTGTCGGGTTAGACGTGCTTTGATTCCCGAGCTGCAGGGACATTTCCCGAAGGTCGCTCTTCTGTGCTCATTTGCTTTCACCTGAATTTACGCTACATGCACACACCAATCTCATCCCGCTAAAAGCTAATGAGTTAGGTATCCTCACCTTTGTACAGAGGAAACACACGCAGAGCAATTAAGGAGTTTCTCTGTGTCTACACCGCCGATCGTGGCTTGGCCTCGCTGCAAATCAGGCTCCTTCATCCACGTGCCCCAGAGTCTCACACACACGGCCTAATCGGCGAAGGGATTTTACTAGGGCGCAGCCAAGTTCCTAAGAGCCACTGCCACCGGAAGAGGACTCTATGCAGGCGCGTGCTGAGGCGCGTCAGTCCCACTGCCAGGAGTAGAGCTCCTTGCCTAGCTGGCCCATGCTGTGCCTGGCTCTTGTCTTCTCCAGTAACCCACCCCACCCCAGCCCCTCTCCAGCACTTGCCTTCTGCGCCCCCAGTTAAGCCCTGGTCAGCAGATGCCCCCACCCCTTAGGCCTTGGTATCCCTTGTTCTGTTTCATTACCGGCTCTCATACCAACTGCAAGGTGCTATCGAGGCTCAGTCTCCCAGAATCCGGAAGACTGTCGCTCGTACCCAGCTTCTCGGACACATGGCTTCCTAACCGTCCTGCACCCACGGCGCTGGGCCCGCTCCCCGTGTCCCGCTCCCCGTGTGACTAACCGGTGCTGGCAACCTGCGTGCTACCAACAGAAGGGTTTGTTTTTCTAAAAACCATTTAACTTCCTTTTCTAAGAGTTCACTTTTGCCGGCTTGAACAGATAAACTTGTCTCCCTACGTATGACAGATTTATACTTAACACAAGCATAACCTAGTGCTCCCAAGTTCATGATTTTAATGACTGACCATACTTCCTGAGACAAAAAAGACAAATGTCCCGAGCCAGCGGGTCAGTCAACGAAGGTCACCTGGGAGAGGAGCAGGGAATGGAGGAGGGGACAAAGGACAGGAGATGTGAGAAATGGAGACAAGACAGGATTCTGATCAAGTCCCGTTTACTCAGGGGAGGTGCTGGGTATATATAGTGTAGGCGCAGGGAAGTGACCTTGGCGGGTAAAAGGCGCGAGTAACTAGGCAACCGGGCTATGACAGGAAGTCCCACCTCCGGGGCATAGCAGGAGACTTATGGGAAATAGGCGGGGTGAGAAGAATTAGGAGCTTAGCTCAGCAGAGGTAGGGGAAGAGGAACGCGGAAACCCACTTACAATAGGATGAAGGCCTGGAGTTATTGAGCCTCCCACAGGTCCCCCTTTACTTTTATATATGTATGTAAAATACGGCTTTTTAGACGGCTGATTCCCTTGAGGGGGCAGTGCCTGTCTTAGGTCAAGGTGTCCTCTACTCAAACCTTACCCGTCATAGGAGACCATGACAGCAGAAGGTCCCATTCCTGTCTTAGGAGGTGAGTGGTGTCTCATGTATGCCCCTCATTACCCATCTCTGGCTAGCCTGACCATCTCACTAAGGGTGGGAGAACTAAGAGGTCTCCAGACCTTCATCGTCACAAGCTGGTTGTATTCCAGCGCAGTTTTCCCTTTCAGCCATCTCAGGCCTGTGATAAGGAACCTGAATAAGCTTCATTAAGGCCGTGTCCAACTGCTGTCGAATGAAAGCCATTAGCCTATTAAAAATGCATGGGCCAACTGCAACCAGAAGTAAGAGGGTTATCAGGGGTTCTATTGATAAAAGTATTAATAGTCCAATCAAGGGGCCCAATGGGGGAGAAGGTAGGGTAGTACTCTATTCCATATGCTCCAGAAAGGGTTTTCAAATAGCTCTCTTCTCCTCTTAATAAGATCTTCTTGAAATCTCATTTTATCTCGAACAATACGGGACTTGTTTGCGTAGAAGCAGCAGCATTCCTGTAAAGCCAAGCAGATCCCTCCCTGCTCTGCTGTTAGAAGGTCTAAGCCCCTCCTATTTTGCAAGACTACTTGTGCTAATGAATCTATCTGGTCTTGGATGTCTTGGATAGTACCAGACAGTGTTTGAACATCATCAATCAGCTGATTAGATAATTTACTATAAGAATGTACTGCTACTCCCAATCCTGCTGTGCCTGTCCCCATGGCCGCCATGACTCCTAGCCCCGCTAATAAAGGGATGAACTGGACTGCCCTCTTTGTGCGGCGCATAGCATAATCTAAACTGGAAAGAGGTACGGGATCATTACCAGAGATGACATCTATATCAGGCAATACAATTGCCAGACACATCGTCCTGTCCAGTTGGTAGGTAAATATGTGAAGGCTAAACTTCCCCCACATACAAACACATGTCCCTTTTTTGGGCAAATAGGGCTACTGTAGTTAAGTATTTGATTGCAGCTGGTGAAGGTAACAAATCCAACATCAACAGTGAAGCTATCATTGTGGAAGCTTCCTTGTATACAGGAAGAGTTCCATAGGAGATAATCCCCGCCCCCCGGAGAGGGTGGCTCTGGCTAATGCCTGCCAGTCCTCGGGAGTAAGCCAGTTGTCAGCCACAGTTTCTAAAATGGTTGTGGTGTATGGAGCCGTGGCTCCGTATTGGGCAACTGCCACTTTTAGTTCCTTGAGTACTTTAAAATCGAAACTAGTGTAATGGCGCCAAATCTGTCCTTGAGTGCCTGTTGTTTCTGATACCGGAAATACCTCTGCCTTATCTAGATCTATGCCTTACATAGATCTATCTTATCTATAGATCTATCTAAATACTTGTGGGTCTAACAGGAGGAAGCTTTTGGGGATAGCGCCCCTCAAGGGTGGCCTTTGAACACAGGAGGCCTTTGGTCCGGTTATATTTTTATTTTTGGGTTTTCCTGATTTTAATCTTTCTAATTAGATTATGAGGTCTTGGCGCTCTTTCTCTAATTTTATCTGTTCTTTGAGAAGTTCAATTTTGCCTTTTAATTCCTTTCTGGGGTCAGAAGCCAAACACGCCGAAGGAGTCGTGCTGGGATCAGCGCTATATGGCGGAGGGCTCTGAACCTCGGGCGACCCATGTCGGTCATGATACCGAGCAGCTTCCTGGCTTTGATTTCAAGATTCTGTTCCCTTACAGGAGGGCACACACCCTTAGGGGGTTTTTTGTCCTTTAAGATGGGTTTTACCTTTTTGTCCCTGTAGTATATTTTCACCCTTTTTTATCACATTAGCAACAACCGGGTCACAGTGTCTCTGGAATAAGACTTCATCAATTAAATTCCAGTAGGAAAAGGCCATAACTGGGACCTTTTCAGGTCCAAAAGTCTCATAATAATCCTTAAGGGCATCACCAACCCTCTTCTATCACCTCTGATCAATAGTTCCTTTAACAGGGAACCATGGGCAAACTTGTTTAATATATTCAAAATATTGACACAAATCCTTAATTTTAACCTTTACTCCTCGCACCTTTAAAACTTTGCTCAAACTTTCTACAAATATCTCATGTTCACTTAATGCCTGTCCCATTGCCGAAGGGAAAGGGAAAGGTGTGCCGTCCGCTTGCAGAGGTTCAGACGTCGCAGCAGGCAACTGCGGTGCGGGCCTCTTTTACTTTTTCTTTTGCTTCTTTTACTTTCTCTCTTGCCGGCTCTCTCCAACGGTTCTGTCGCTGAATCCTCTGTACCAGGTGCCCCACAGTT